GCATGCACAAGATGTCCCAAGTCACGGTACACTTGTTGTTTTACCTTTCTAGCGATTCGTTTTTGTAAGCCTCCTAGGAAATGCATCATGAGTTCTTCTTCATCATCGTCGATTTGCAAGTAAGCGAGGAGTTGCTCAAATTCTCCATAGTATCTATCAACCGTCTTGTCCCCCTGCACAATGTTATCAAAACTATATTGCAATTCATGAAGACAACGTCGAGGTACATACCTTTTCCGCATGAGGGTCTTCATTTCCTTCCAAGTGGAAACCGGATCATAATGTGCACGACGTCGATTGTTTTCTTCTCGTTCCCACCATGTGATGGCATCTTCGGCAAGATGGGCAGCCGCATAGTGAATCTTCCTTCTGTTCGTCAAGGAATAACATTCGAAATTGGCATCCATTTGGCGCTCCCACTCAAGATAGACCTCGGGATCTTTCTTTCCAGTAAACACGAAAGGTTTGAACTTTGGATCAGCCCTCTCATCACGAGTTGGTCGACGATATTCTCGGTCATATGGATCCTTGAATCGGCCATCATCGAGGGGTTCATGGTGAGGCCTCTTTAGATTTTTAGGCATGGTTCTCTTCCCCTCACTTTGTTTGTTTAGCTCCCTAGCAGATTCCACGGGTTCGCTCACCTCCTCAAGTCGTGTGAGACGATCTTGAATCTGCTGGATCATCCTATAAACCGAACTGTCACTGGATACGTTTGCCATCGATACTGAGAAAGCAAGCCACGGTATATGCAAGTAACAAAACGTGCAGCACTAAGTCCGAACAAATATAGCAGAAACGTTCAACGTGCAACAATGTCATGTACAAGCTAAAACATGCACTTCACGCAACAAGTAACGTTTTGGTTCCTAAACAGTTTCAGAAGTACTTAGATGTTTTCAATCTGTTTCTAAGCTCAATTAGGGAACACAAACAATCTCTCAAACTAACAATTTACCCAGATTCGTGCTTGGTACCTCTTGCCAAAAGAACAATTCGGAAACGAACAACAATCACTCAACAATACGATCGGTAATGACACAGATGCAAACAGATTTCGAAATAATCAAAGTGAATGAAAAGGAACAATACAACCGTGGGGGAAGGCTGTGATTCAGGACGCCGAAGAGCCTTTCCAAGTCGTGACCCTAATCGATCTCCTGCAAGACACGAAATAGGTTGTTAAGTTTGATTGCAATGAGATGTAATCGTCGGATGTTGTTCAGTCGGATTACGAGCATTGTTTCGAGGTGTAAAAATTGAAATTTCAAGCAAAGCGACCTATGGTTGGATTCGTCTTTGAAAGAGGAAGAGTTTGATATATGGCTCGACAAATAATTCAAAGTTTAGCACAATCAAAACAGTCAAATACTGATGATATGTCAAACTGACAAAACTAGAAGTTAAGAACGAAATTAGAACCGAAGCGAGAAGCAAGGAGCGATCTCACCGGGGAATTTCGACCGTAGGATCGAGCAGCTCTGATACCAAAATGATGCACGCACGGAGGAGGATGGGAGCAAGTTTGATCGCAATCACCGGCTCGCGTCTAGCGGCACTCGAATTCACGAACAAACGGGGATAATCAAAGGGGATTTACGGGAATTCAATCACCGGCTCACTCAAGTGGCACTCGAATTCAAGAGAGAATCAGATTATGGATGGCGAAAACGAAGGGATAGGAGCACCGGACACACCGAGTGCAAACCCGTGGACACACCGACGGTAAGAACTCGGACAAACCGAGTGTTGGCTTGCGGACACACCGACAAGACCGAGCTTGGACACACCAAAGCTAAGGCTCTCGACACTTTAGAGTGGAGAAGAAGGAGAGAAAACTCTGCAACTTTGATTCAATAAACTTGGCTGCGATTACAATGAAGAAGAGAAGTGTTTAAGTAGAAGAAAATGTCAACAACATAATTAAAGCAACAAACACATGGAAGACATGAGCCATAAATGAGGTAGGTGGGCTGAATATGGCTGTTGGGAGGTGTATTACATCTCAAGAAGCTTCCTTTTGTTAGTGACTCGGATCACAAGAAGCTTCGTAATCGACCACGAACAAGTTACGCGTGGCTCATGTTTCTTCGGTGGAAAAGAACATTGCGTCCTCTTCGCTTGGCAGCGTCAATGCACGATGGAAGTGGGCATTGAGCTTCCCTTGGAGTGCTCGTGTCCTTGCTCGGGTGATCAGAGGTTCGGCATGCACTTGGGCTGTCGAAGAATGGGACTTTGGCTCGACATGTGGAGCGGTTTCGGTTCGGCCGAATGGACAGCATGTGGAAGTGGATGTGTGACCTCCGGCCCGCATGAGTACTTCTTCTCGATCTCGTCTAAGCTCTCCTCTATAGCATATTCCGTGCCCTCATTACGAGCAACTTCCATGTGTTCCTTGCGTTCCAAACATTGCTTAAACTCCAAGCTATCCCGTTGAGCTCCTAGCTCCGTGCTCCCGCTCCAAGCTATCATTAGCTCCATGCGCTCCTTTACCTCCAAGATATAGTTTGATGTATCACTCATGATTCTGAGGTCCTCATCACAGTTGGAAGAGTTCCAAACAGACAACCGTGGCAGATTCGACTACAGAAGCCGAGTACATAGCAGCAGCCTCCACGAGAGTGCCGGTGATCGTTCACGGATTATCTACACCTCCTCCGTGCGTACATCATTTTGGTATCAGAGCTGCTCGATCCTACGGTCGAAATTCCCCGGTGAGATCGCTCCTTGCTTCTCGCTTCGGTTCTAATTTCGTTCTTAACTTCTAGTTTTGTCAGTTTGACATATCATCAGTATTTGACTGTTTTGATTGTGCTAAACT